TTTAGTAAAATTTCTAAACGTAATTAAAAGAGTTTATATTGGAAAAGTTAAGATAAAACGTAACGTTAACAAAAAATATTCTTTGCACTGAAATGCATTGTAACGTACAGAACTATGCCCCAATGACGTTTTATTAAAGCAAAACGTTTGTCATCTTTTAGATCTTAAACCAAGTGAAAGTGTAACGTAAGGTCTCTGAAAATATTTACATTGCATGAAAGTGGAACGTTAAAAAATTGTGGTTATATTACATAAGCTTTAACGCAACGTTGGGAAAGTTTTTAAAACATCAAATGCAAAAGCGTAACGGAGCTTACTGTTTTTTCAATAACATTTACTAAAGCTTAACGTTGTATAAGGTATTCAAGTGCAGAAAATTCATTACGTAACGTTACTCTATACCATAAAATTTTAAAATGTGCAACGTAACGTTTCAAACGTTAATACTTTCGTAACGAAAGCTAAAATCTAGAAAAATCAAAACGTTGACATCTCTATTATCTAGTTTGTATATCAAATGCTGTATTTATTTTTCAGATAGAATGGCAGAGATTATTAAAGAAGAATTAAATATAGAAAAGTTTGAGATAAAAGAAGAGATTGTTTCCTTCAAGGAAGAAATCCTTCCCTTCTCTACTTTAGAGGCTAAATTTACTGTTAATCTACATAAAGATGATATAAAGATAGAAAATACAAGAATACAAGGTAAAATTAATAATTTTGTGGAAGACGATGCCTGGCCGCGTTAAACAAGTTCCACAAGATTCAACTGAATGAGATAGAACAGATACGGGGCATGGTACTGTCAAAACATCTACACACGTGTGATATCGATATTAACTCATATTCTGAACCCTCTAGTAATAAGTTATAAGAAATATATATACTGGAAGTTATTTATGCGTTTTTATTAGAGTCTGACTCACGTCCTCTATATTGGTGACCCCCGACTTTGAACATACAGTTAAACGCTATCCAGTTTTATGATTTTCTCAAACTTTGAACATTAAGTGATACATCCGAGCATCATGACTGACCGGAAAAAAATGAAATGTATATATGACAAAAATGTCATTGTTGAATTTGTTCATTTCCATGTCCTAGTGATCATTCTGAATACTTGCAACAAACTTTCTAATTTTCTAATTCTGAAATCTTTGGAACCAAATCCTGATTTTGTAAGCCTTGTCTGTCTGTTTGTTTGTTTGTATCCAATAAAGGTCAAAACGGCTGAACTGATCGGGCCCAATTTTTTTGTGGGACATCACGTGACCACAGGGAAGGTTTATGAATGATAAAAATCAAAAAAAAATGTGTTTTAAAGGTTTTAAATTTTGTAAAAAAAATTAAATTCTTGAAAATCCGCGATTTTTTTTAAATCCGCAAATTTTTTTTCTTCTTTGTTTCAAAATGTAAACAAAAAGAACATGTTCACAATTTAAATAGAAGATGGGCGAAGCGCCCTGAAAGCCTAGTATTAAAAAATTTAAAAATAAGAGTTTGAGACAAGTCTTCAATTCCTTAGCTTAGTTTAAGAATGCCAGGCTAAACTTATCTTAATGTAATTTAAACAGCATCCCCTAGCATTATTTTTAGGTACACTTCCCACCCATTTTCAACATTTAGACCTCTTTTTAAAATGTCATAATTAGGATTGCTTACTGAAGAAAAGAGACCGTTGCGACGGGTTCCTAACTTAAGGTACGATTCTCAAGAGCAGCATGAGAGTTCTGCCTCTGATTCTGATAATGGAGTTGGATCTGATTCTGATAATGGAGTTGGATCTGATTCTGACTCAGAAAACACTGTACTCGACGGACCACCAAAGTTTACCCAAGGTAAGCTTAATAATATATTGAAATATTTTGGGTTGAAAATATATTTGCTCAAAGCTAATTTGGCCTGTATAGTCTACTAAACATTAATAAATACACTAATATGCTGTTTAGAAACTATGCAAGATTCTCCCAAGCGTCCAAGAATGAATATAGAAACCCCGAAATCAACCAACTGCAGCAGTGAAAAAAGACTGGACAGATATGAGGTTACCCCAGAGAAAACCCCGGATAGAATTGTGAAAACGCCTTTCCGTTCCCAGGAAAAAAGGTTTAAACAAGAAACAATTGAGGAAGGTAACCTCCTTAAGTTACCTTTTTTAACCATAATGAAAAATGAGATACGTTTTTTTCTTGATTCAAAAATTGATTGGTCTAAACTCTAAAGTTTATTTTTGCAGATTCCCAGGTTACCAATGCAATAATCCTGAGAGAGATTATTAAAACTCAAGATTACCTCAAGAGAGTTGAAGAACGTATTAAAGGAGTTGAAGAACGTATTAACAGAGTTGAAAATCGTACGTCAATTGGAAATGACTTTTCATCTTTTACTGAAAGGTATAAATCCTTAAAAAATTCTTATTATAAATCTATTCAAGTAAAAATATCAAAATTTATTTGATTTATAAATGTTTTTATTTGAATTTTCTTCAGGTTTGGATTTCAACCTGCATCCACGATAGAGGAGCTAATGACGTTTGAAAAGGAACTTGATGATTCGCAATTCTATGCTAAAGTGGTAATATTTTTTGTTTTTTGTAGTTCCTTTAAAAGTAATGCACTGTTAACAGAGAATCAGAAAGACAACTTAAAGGATTTGAGTTTTTGCCACAAATGCCAATTTTAAAATACCTAAATTTCAAGAACCAAATGATGCATACCTTTCATATTTCAAACTTGCATTGTTTCATCCACCAGAATTCATAGTTTGAAATATCTAGCATCTACGACATTTGGTTTTAAAGAAATTGGGATTTAAAAATCCGAGTTTGTGGCACAGACTCAATTCCTTTGTGATAATTTGTAAACTAGTGTTATTAGCTATTAACTGAAAATTATTTTTCTCTTAGTATTAAGGGCTGTATACAAAAATTTGTCCATGGAGGGNTCTTATTATATATATATATACGAATTCAATCAAAATTTTGTTAATTCAGTTGAATGTTGTAAACAAGCCCAGGAAATTTGCAGTAGGAGAAACTACAAGACATATTTTAAGACTAATTGCAGATGATCGGTAAGGTTCAAATAAAAACTTTGCACTGAATTTTCTTAAATTATTCTGTTTTGACAGAAATCGAACCCGGTGTCCTACATGAAGCAGACTTTCATGGGGCGGACTCGACCCCTAAAGTTTTAACCATTTTAACACAATGTTAGAAATAAAAACAATGTTACAATGTATTTTAAAGAGGGTAAAGGTAAAAAGGGTTATTTCTGCTTGAATGTCGTATTCCTTTCAAATCATCGAACAATTAATATTAACCTAGAGAAATAGATAATTGTTTTTTAAATCAAAATACATTCATAAATACCGGAAACATTGTGTTGAAATGGTTAACACTTTTAGGGGGTCTGCCCCATGCAAGAGTCCGCTCCATGCACGATACTGATTCATCCCAGGGGCGGAAACGTTATGTGTGTGTGTCTGTACCAAAAGAGTGTGTGTAAGGAATACCGAACCGAAGGCGCGAATCCCGGGATTTGTACAGTCTAGGAGAGTACATTTGTTTATTGTTAAATGTTTACTTGAAAATAAGTTTTATATACATGTAATATATTATTTACATATTTGTCAACACTAAAAGCCAAATTTTCATGCAAAGAATATAATTTGATTACAGTTTACAATAAACTACTCGTTATTCAAGCTTAATTATAATTGACGACATTATTATGCAATTTCCTTGACTGTAGTCATGTTGTGTGTCTGTACCAAAAAAGTGTGCATGTGTAATACCGAACTGGTCTGCAAAGCAGTGCGACTGGCTTTCTCATGCCAGACCAGCGCCATTGCCCTTCCCTTTATTCCCTGATTCATCCCCTATTGGTTAGATGATAAATGTTTCAGTATCTGGGCACTGTTCAACCTTAAAGGTACTACAACAGGAAAGTTTGCATATGGAAGTCTGTGCAATGTGGATAAACTGATTCAAGGTAAGCTAGATTAAATATGTATACAACATCACATACGGCGGGACCCATAAAGATGTGGAATAAGGAGATGACATTTGAGCAATCATATTTGTGTCAGATGTTGATATAAAGCAAATAGTTTTGTAACTTGTATAAACTATATGAATTTAAATGGGGCGCAGTATTTCCTTCACAATAGCTGTGTTTCATGTACATTGGACTAAGTAAAAAAAACTAAAGTCTAATAGTCGTCTTTACAATCCACAGTTTTCTAGGGGTTCCAAGTTTGCTTCCTTGAATAAAAACTCTAATAATCTAGTCTAATAGTCTAATAGTCGTCTTTACAATCCACAGTTTTCTGGGGGTCCCAAGTTTGCTTCCTTGAATAAAAACTCTAATAATCTAGTCTAATAGTCTAATAGTCGTCTTTACAATCAACAGTTTTCCAGGGGTTCAAGTTTGCTTCCTTGAATTAGTTTTATAATTTCTCTAATGTCTCTAATGTCCAAAGGAATTCAGTTTTAGCCAAAAGCTTAAGTTTACTAATTCCTACATCTTTGCAACCTGAAGAGGTAAACCTTTCATATTTTAAACTCAAATAACTTCATAGAATTCTGAATTCATAGTCTGAAATATCAAGGGTGTACGACATTTGATTGCAAAGATTCAGGGGTTAGAAAATTAAGAGTTTGTGGCAAAAACTCCGTTTCTTTTTTTAACAGTAAGAAGTACTTGAGCTAAATGAAGTAGTTACAACTGCAATTCTTAATATTCATTAAATCTAGTAATAATAATTTGCTGTGAAAACATAAGAAAAAATCAAAGCTTCATCTTTTATTTATCACACGTTCTTAAAAAAACATACTGTGAAGCATATAATTGTAAATCTATTTTTGTATGATGTTGAAAGGGTCTTTCTCATATTTCTTTTGTGTTATGTAGATACTGTACTGGCTCACCATGGGAATGAACTTGGCAATGCCAAATTACAGCATTCTGCTACTTTGAACTTCTTTAAGAATAAAAGCACAGCCTTGAAGGTACTGATATAGATTTAATTACTTTATACAAGGAAAGCATATTCATGAATTTTAAAACATCTTTACTTTTCAGAAATCTGACTTTCCTCCTTCTCCCGTTAGTCAGAGATTAGTAACTCTAGATGATGTTGGCGTGAATGAACTAAATACTGAGAGAAGAATTGCTTCAGGATCTCAAGACTTTGCTAATTTTAACACAGAATAAATACCTTCAATGTCACATCCTACAGTTGCATTCGAAAATATGTGAGTGGGGGACAAGCCGACAAAGGGGACAGAGATCCCCCCCCCCCCTCCTCGCAAATATTGATGTTCTAAATTGAAATTTTATCAAAGTTTACTGTATACAGCACTCCCTTCCTTGTATTCTAGATGACTATATCCCACATAATTCTCCAATTCATGCTTTATCAACTCGTAGATGTATTTTTTTAAATCTTTTTATTTTTTATTTGATTTTTCATTGTTGAGATAAACATTTAACCCATTTTGAGGAACATTATTAACCTTGCTCATCCCTACTATTTAACTTTTCTCCTTGAGAACAGTGTAAATATATTTGCCAGGGAGAGAAGGTAATGCTTTGAACATTTGATGAGAAAAATTCGCGCATTGACAAGACAAATAAAGCGAATATTTATTATTTTCAATTTGACTACTTTGAATCCGTGCAAAACATTTGATATGCCATTAAACATCTGATCGATAAAGATATTATGTTTTCTAACAATTTGTGCGCAAATTTACTGTCGGTTTATTTCCTGTAAACAATAAATGGGTCTATGTAATTTCAAGTGACCATTCATGGATGGCAATGCCCGGTTTAAAACTGTACCTTTTAATGTAATACTTATGTTGGAAGATTTTTTTATCCTAAAAAGAATTTATTTGTGATGATTTTCAAATGTTTTCCTGCAATAGAAATCCACAAATCACTTTTTGCACAATTGAAAATAATCAGTTTTCAAAATTCTAAACATTGATATAAAGCATACTTGATCAGACAAAGCTTTTCAGGGTACCGTTGTGAATCGTACACAACATTCTTTAACGAGAGAGTCACTTTAATTTAAGAGTACAGACTTATCTTAACTTATCTATAATACAACCCAAGAAATTAAATATTTCATCTATGTATAAAAGTAAAAATAAATGTATGTGTAATCTATTTAATCTATCAAATAATGTTCGTTACCAGCTTTGTGACTCTTTATGAAACCCTGAGTAGAAACGTTGTTTTAATTAGATATTCATTAAGAGGATTTAAAATAAATATTTTTTTCAATTGTGCTGAATTAGCGGCAGAAGAATTATTTAATATAGAAATCAAAAGGGGTCTAATACATTTTTGTACAATAATGAATTAAACTCAGAAGAATACAAGGAAATTGATTACTCTTCTCAACTTCTAATCATATTACTCTATCATTGCAACTTGAATATTTGAGTTTGAGAAGAGTAATCAATTCTTTACTTTTTAACTCTAAATCTTAATTTATAAATAGATAAAAATAGATTAAATTCTATCATTTAAAACTTTTTAAAATGGATTAACATGCAACATTTTAAACGGTTTTAAATGGGTTTTAAACCTTGTTAGTTTAAACTCACGTGCTGAAACGGAAATAACTTGTTTGAAAGATGTCTTTTAACCGGTTTAAATCAGTTTTATTTTAAACTGGTTATTTCTGTATTAAAAAACTGATATTAAACGTCTAAACTTCGTAAATCGTTTTTAAGTGGTGTTATATAAAACGAGTAAAAACACCATTTTAAACCATTTAAAATAACTGGTATTGTGTAATGACACACGGATTAACAATTTTTAAATACTCGGATAAAAACACACCGTTAAAAAACGAATTTATCTCTACTTGTAAACCAAAAGAGAAGATTTTAAGTTTGAAGGGCAACAATCCAACCATCCAACTATCCAACCATCCTACCATCCAACTATCCAACCATCCTACCATCCTACCATCCAACTATCCAACCATCCAACTATCCAACCATCCAACCATCCAACTATCCAACCATCCAACTATCCTACCATCCAACTATCCAACAATCCAACCATCCAACTATCCAACCATCCAACTATCCAACTATCCAACCATCCTACCATCCAGCTATCCAACCATCCAACTATCCAACCATCCAACTATCCAACCATCCAACTATCCTACCATCCAACTATCCAACCATCCAACTATCCAACCATCCAACTATCCAACTATCCAACCATCCTACCATCCAACCATCCTACCATCCAACCATCCTACCATCCAACCATCCAACTATCCAACCATCCAACCATCCAACTATCCAACCATCCTACTATCCAACCATCCAACCATCCTACCATCCTACCATCCTACCATCCAACCATCCAACTATCCAACCATCCAACCATCCAACTATCCAACTATCCAACCATCCAACCATCCAACTATCCAACCATCCAACCATCCAACTATCCAACTATCCAACCATCCAACTATCCAACCATCCAACTATCCAACCATCCAACTATCCAACTATCCAACCATCCAACTATCCAACTATCCAACTATCCAACCATCCAACTATCCTACTATCCAACTATCCAACCATCCTACCATCCAACCATCCAACCATCCAACTATCCAACCATCCAACCATCCAACTATCCAACCATCCAACCATCCAACTATCCAACCATCTAACTATCCAACCATCCAACTATCCAACCATCCAACAATCAGACTAAATTAGTGTATGATACTAAACAGTAAATAAATAACTCAAATAATTGAATTATTGAAAATCATTTCTGTACAAAAGATTAAATCCGACTCTAACAAAGAAATAAAGGTAAAAAGTATGATTTATATCTTCCTCTCTCCTTCTCCTAGATATATTTCAAATATTTCTCCTCTTATTTGCCGGATTTACCCTGAACCCTGTCATATAAATCAAAAAACGAGAGTAAACCCTTGGAAAGAAACCTAATCAAAGCCAATTATTTTGTCTCAACAAAAACATATTTATGCTAATGTTTAAAGGGACTAATAGCGTAATCGTAAGTGATCTTCCATTTTAAGAAGGAAAAACTGATTCACAACGGTTCCCTTTAGAATGCTTTTCGAGGAGAATAAACTTACCACATCTTTCTCTCAGATGCTGTGTAAATTAAGCCGTAAAATTGGAGTGTGCACTAGCGGACTGTGTGAACTCAACGCAGCTGACGTCACATTTATTCCTGAAAAATCTAGAATTGTCCATAGAATTATAATGTAAAGATAGTTATTTCAGAGGTGTACGCCTATTGTGTACTGCAGTGTACTGTCTCTGGGCGGTATTGTGAACACAAGAGTAAGACGGATGTGACAGCTTTTGACTTGGGATCCATCCCTCACATAAAAGATCAATGAAATATTCTGGTCTTAGGAAATATTATGTGAATTATCAAATTTATCGAAATTTAATGCTTTTAACCTCCTTGGATACTAGAAAAATGCATCTTTTCATGATTACAAACACCGCCCAGAGAGAACTGGTTTCAATATGTACGCAGAGAATACCTAATAGCAATTAACTTTCCTTGCCTTATTACCTTGGAATAGTCTAAGTTTATTAAAATGTTGAAGACTGCAAATTGGAGTATTTTTTTATACAAGGAAGTATATACAGAAACGCCCAACTCAGATATACGCATATTATGTACTGTACACTGTGGGAGCAATGTAAACAAACCCAGTGCCCCCAGTCCCCATAAAAGTTTAAGGGAAAGGACTACAGCTCTGATGTAATATTACAGTCCAACAAAAAACAGTTAATATATCAAGTGAGAGCGAATACTTATGCTTTTTGGCTTTCTGGTCAATATGGAAAATACAATTGCAATATATTCTTATTCCACCCTTTGGGCCCTTTTCCCTCAAAATTTATGCTTAGCCCCTGAATTCTTCGTTTTGGTCTCCTCCCACTGCAGTACACAGATTTGACGCATCAGATATGGCGGTTACTGGTCTATATATTTTTTGCTCTGTGACCTCTAGAAAGTAAATCTATATAATAAAGCTCATATATGCATATATGTTTTTATGCATAGCTATAGCTAGCCGATCGACTGGACCAAATTGGCTGGTTTAGGGAACCTATGGGTATCCCAGGGATAACATAGGCAAAATAATTCCACGGGCAACGCCGGGCACTTCAGCTTGTCTATATATATATATATATATATAAAGTTGTAATCTCTGTTTGTCTGCTTGTTTGTTTGTCCGATCATAAGTCAGGAACCCTGCACCGATTTGCCTCAAATTTTTATTGGGGAACTCGGGAGACCCCCGGGAATGTTCTTAGTTTGGTTTGAAGATGATAAGTTTTCTTGTATAGCAAACATTTAGTAACCTGTACAGCGCTGGGTTCCCAAGCTAGAACTTAACAAAATAAGTTCCGACTTTGAGAAGTTTTCAATCAATTATTTTGTTTGATCTGGAGAATTCATGAAGTTAGTATTCCATATTTTAAAGTTTTCCTCTGATTAATTTAACAGAATTGAAAGAGAGAAAAACTCTCATCTGCGATCTTTGTTTCTTGGATAATTTATATCAGTCGGGATCTTTATCTGCATTCATAGACTAAACATATTTTAGATACATCAGGGTATATACCTATCTTGCATTCATAGACTAAATATATTATAGATACATCATGCAGGGTATATACCTATCCTGCATTCATAGACTAAACAAATTTTAGATACATCAGGGTATAGACCTATCTTGCATTCATAGACTAAATATATTACAGATACATCAGGGTTTAGACCTATCCTGCATTCATAGACTAAATATATTATAGATATATCAGGGTATGAACCTAACCTGCATTCATAGACTAAATATATTACAGATACATCAGGGTATATACCTATCTTGCATTCATAGACAAAATATATTATAGATACATCATGCAGGTTATATACCTATCCTCCATTCATAGACTAAACATAATACAGATACATCAGGGTATGAACCTATCCTGCATTCATAGACTAAACATATTATAGATTCATCAGGGTATAAACCTATCCTGCATTCATAGACTAAACATATTATAGATACATCAGGGTATAAACCTATCCTGCATTCATAGACTAAATATATTATAGATATATCTGGGTATAAACCTATCCTGCATTCTTAGACTGAATATATTATTGATACATCAGGGTATAAACCTATCCTGCATTCATAGACAAAATATGTTATAGATACATCAGGGTATGAACCTAACCTGCATTCATAGACTAAACATATTATAGAAACATCAGGATATCCTGGATTAGAACTGGATATCCTGGATTAGAACCGGATATACTGGATTAGACCCGGATATCCTGGATTATAACAGGATATCCTATACCAAAATCGGAT